TGAAATCCACAAAGACGTGAGGTTCAAACAGATATTTCTGTCTCCTCAACAGAATCTCTTACTTGCCACGCAAAATGTTTGCTAATCCAGTCAAAAGAAACCGAAGAAAAGGAGAGTATCAAGACAAAGACACCCCTACCTAAAACAGGGGTAGTCACCAGAAACGTTGGTTCTAAGAAAGCAAATAAGAACCCACTTAACAAACAAAAATTAAAAGCAGCCCTCTCTAAAGCTAAAAGATAAGAGACTCAGTCCATGAGTGAGTTCTCTGATATCTCTGATGAAGAGCCTAACATGGAGGTGACAAAACCAATGTCACCCCCAAAAGATAAACCTCCTGTGAAACTGAAGAGGGATACCCTTGTGAAAAATGCTGCCTCAAACACATAATGGATTATAAAATAATCCAATGGAACNCTCTGTCCTGTCAACACTTTTAACCTACTTAAGAGTTACCTCACAGATAGATCTGCCCTGGCTGTGGAAAAGGGTAAGGTCCTCCATTGCTCTCCTATCACTAGGGGATGCCCCCAGGGCTCTAAGTCAGGACCACTATTGTGGAACATCCTCTTTAATGGAATCTTGAATCTCAACAAGGACCCACAACAAGACGGAAATCCACACATCCAAGGGTACGCTGATGACACTGTAATACTACTCTCGTATCAAAACCAAGAAAAACTACAAAACTATGCAAACAACTTTCTGAAGAGAATCTACAACTGGAGCCAAGACCACAACCTAATAATAAACCACTCCAAGTGCTCTACTATGGTCTTCACTAAGAAAAATCCTTTACACAAAAAGCCTTCCATTAAGATCAACGGAGTGACATTACGAAACGTTAACAACCTTAAGTACTTAGGGATCATACTTGACCCCAAACTCTCTTGGAGGGATCACGTTTATTATTCTTACAATAAAGCCATCAGTGTCAGTCATAAACTGAGGTCAATTGCCAAGAATGGGTGGGGCCTAGATAATAACAACAGTAAAATCATCTATAAAAGTGCAATAGAACCTATCCTCACCTACTGCTGTGAGGTGTGNCCCGTCCACCACGCTGGAAACTGGAAACGGCAGATTGGCCTGCATTCTCCTCTATGGCTGACATCACTGAGGAAATGGTCAATACTGCTGATATCAATGATGCAGTTGAAGTTGTCACTTCTAGTATTATTCAGGCAGCTGAAAAAACAATGGGAAAAACGTCAACTAGATACCCAAAGCATCCAAAACTATGGTTGGACCAGAATTGCGAGACAGCATTTAAAGCACAAAAGAAAGCATGGGGAATTTTCAGAAGGTACCCCACTGCTGAAAATTTGGTTGCTTTTCAAAAAGCAAAGGCAAATGTCAGAAGAATAAGAAAACAAAGCCAAAGGGATTCTTGGAGGAAGTATGTTTCTAGCATAACATCTTCCACCAGCTCAAAAGCAGTCTGGGATAAAATCCATAAAATTAATGGGAAATATGCTTCTCACTCTCTGTCCATGCTGGAAAATAATGGCACAATAATCAGCGATATACAGGGTATTGCTGATACGTTGGGTGAAACATTTTCTACTTCATCCAGCAATATTATGTATTCAAGGAATTTTCAGGTTTATAAAGCCCAAAGTGAAAAACAATGTTTAAACTTTCATTCCTCATCTAATGAGGAATATAATGTGCCATTCACCAGCATAGAACTACATACAGCGATCTCTCGCTCGGGGAATAGTGCTGTAGGCCCGGATAAAATCCACTACAGCATGATTAAAAATCTGTCAAACAATTCCCTTTCTAATCTCCTGTGTCTGTTTAACAGAATATGGACAGAACATACTTTTCCTGACTCTTGGAGGCTATCTATCATTATTCCCATTCCCAAGCCTGGTAAAGACCACAAGAATCCCTCTAATTACAGACCAATCTCTCTGACAAGTTGCCTGTGTAAACTCTTTGAGAGGATGGTAAACAGACGTCTGATGTATCTCTTAGAGAAAAATGAATACTTTTCACCACATCAGAGTGGTTTTCGTAGGAACAGAAGTACCACTGATAACCTGGTAAACCTTGAAACATCTATACGCGAAGCGTTTGTTCGACGACAGCACTTAGTGTCTGTGTTTTTTGATATAGAGAAGGCCTATGATCGCTGTTGGCGATACGGGATACTACGTGATCTGGACCAATTTGGATTGCGGGGTAATTTGCTGATTTTTATAAAAAACTTCTTAGAGAATTGAAGATTCCAAGTTAGGATTGGCAACACTTTATCTAGGCCTTTCACACAACAAGAAGGTGTTCCTCAAGGCTCTATTTTGAGTGTGACTCTGTTCCTAATCAAAATCAACAACATAGCTAACTGTCTTCCTCCCAGTGTGAAACACTCTCTGTATGTGGATGACTTTCAGATCTCCTGCCAGTCTAGTAATATGAGTTTCATTGAGAGACAACTGCAAACCTCCCTAAATCGCATATACGATTGGTCCAAGACCAATGGCTCTACATTTAATGCAACGAAGACCTCGTGCATCTACTTTTGCCAAAGGCGTGGAATGCACGTGGATCCTGAAATTTATTTAAATGGAGATAAAATCCCAATGGTGAATGAGGCTAAGTTCTCAGGTGTTTCTTTCGACCAAAAACTGACATTCTTGCCACACTTGCGCAACCTGAAGAGTAGATGCTTAAAATCTCTGAACCTTCTAAAGGTATTATGCTGCTCATCCTGGGGAGCAGACAAATGTTCCATGCTCAGGATTTATAGGGCCCTTGTCCGCTTGAAGTTGAACTACGGATGCATTGTTTGTGGCTCTGCATGAGAATCTACCCTTCGGATGCTGGATCCAATCCATCATCAAGCTCTACGTTTGTGCACTGGTGCCTTTCGCACCTCTCCTGTACAAAGTCTGTATGTGGAGGCTTATGAGCCTCCACTATCTCTTAGGAGAGAACAGTTGTCTCTTTTTTATTATATAAAACAGAAATCTTATACTAAACCTTCAGTTGATTGTACAGTATCAGATACTCAGCTGAAAAGGCTATTTGAAGCTCGTCCAAGTAGTGTCCCTACATTCGCCATAAGAATGGAGAATGTAAGCAGCATGATTGACCTGAACACAAGCAACATTTTACAGGCTGAGGTTGATAGTATACCACCTTGGTCAACTACTGTGATAAATGTTGACTTCTGCTTAAAGCAGTTTCCCAAGGAATCTACTCCAGACTACATTTACAGACAGCACTTTTCAGAAATCCAACACAATGACAGGAATTTGATTCCTATTTACACTGACGATTCTAAATCGGATGATTACATTGGCTCAGCCTTTGTCTGCCAGGATGAAATCGTGGCAGAGCAAATTACATCGAATTCATCTATGTTTACTGCAGAGCTGCACGCTATTCACTTAGCCTTAAAGTATGTAATTAGAAAAGGTCATCGTCACTGTGTGATTTACACTGATTCAGTTAGTGCACTTCAGGCTTTGATCTCATGTGAACCTAGTTCTCACTCTATAGTGATTAAAATTCGTAAATTGTTTTGCTATCTTACTGCGAATGATTTCCTTGTAAAATTTTGTTGGGTCCCAGGCCATGTAGGTATAAAAGGAAATGAAGATGCTGACNTACCTTTAGTATCTTATTGTGACTTCTCCACCGGACTAACGGTTCCCGACAGGTGCCAACGGTTCCCTCTCTTCCCTTAATCTTTTATTCCTTATTCCCTATCCCCTATCCCCCATCCAATCCCTCTATCCTCCATTTCTTTCCCCTCATCCCTCTCCTACTTTTTCTAGGGCTACACCACCGAGTAAAGCCTTATCCTTTGTTTGTTTGTATGCTGTGGGAGGCCTTTCTTCCACTTGGCACGGAATCTAAAATAATTCATATTGTTTGGATTGACGAATCCGTGCAGATCCAATCTCTCCCTAAATATAAACAGAGAAAATTATTCACTATTAAAGAAACATTTTATTTAAAATCTCTGAAAGCATCTCATCAAAGTATAAACTGAAGCGAGTAATGTTTAGGGCCTCGTACTTTAAATATATTATCATTCAGAATAAAAAAAGTGCTTTTTATAAATTACTAGCGGCTTTGCCCGCTAGGATTTTGCAATTTGATAGAAATAGCCTTCTCTCGGTACTTTACTAAGATTCTCAATCATTAGTTGTCGCTAATTTGGTAAAATTACTGATTTTTGTTTGTTTCAAACTATCGACTGCTAATGCATCTAAATTCCAGTTTCAAATGTTATGGGATTTCGAGATACGATAAATCTGAGTTTAACTTTTTTTCGAAACATAAATGACATTATATGTAAATATATAAAAAACATAAATAAATAAATTTATAAATACTTACAGAAAAATAGAGTTTCAGTTACCCCAGAACCTCTTTGTAAACCTCGTTTGCAGTACAGCCTTTTGGGGCTAAGATGACCAGACTATTCGCAAAGCTTACTCTGAAACATACGACATAAAACTGTCCATGAGAAAAACAGTCTTCATTCAAGTCGATGCCGGCCATTTTCAGTGACTGTCCTTGTGATTTATTAATAGTCATGGCAAAACACACCTTGAGAGGGAACTGTGTTCTCTTAAATTCTAACGGATATTTTGATAATATTAATGGTATTCTTGGGATAAAATCTCTCTCTCCCCGAGCACATCCCCCTTGATGTGGGTTCCTGTCCGTGGTGAGGCCTCCCAGAGATGATTTAGTAACTCTTCTTTACCATCCCTGGGATCTGAACGCCCACCCATGTGTTTGCCGTGCGTGGTATCCCATATGCCAGAAAGGGGGATCCTGGTAGTTGAGGGGCANTTTGTTATATATATTTTGTTTATTTATTTATTTTTTTTTTTTTACGTTTTGCCATGGCGCAGCATGGCCCTTGTGCCAGAAAACTTGTACCAACCAACCAACCGAGCACATCCAGTGATCACTGTAGCTTCTACAATGTTCTTATGCAAAGCATTTACTTGTAGTCTTGTACCATTGCATAATTATGGTGGATTAAGATTTCTTAATATTATTACAGATGCTGCGACTTTAAGAATGAGTTTATGTGATGGCAGACCAGGAGGATTCAGAGTATTAAGAAATTTGGTCGGATAGTGGACGGTGTCGTCCGTTTGGATCACTGAATCAAAAGACCTGTATTCAAGATCTTGAGCTTCGAAGGCCTTTAATAGAATATCATTAATTGCGGCTGCTTTATCGTTTCTCAGAATTAAGATAGCATGCTCGCACAACCATTCTGTGGGCATCTTTTTGATGTTACTTATATCAGGATATATTTTAGAAGTTAGCTCTGATAAGGAGGTAACTACTGTACCCAAATCTGAAGGAATTATGATTTTACCTTCCAGTGAAGGGTAATTTCCATCGCCTATTTTTAGTAGCACTTCAGGGAAAACCCCAGCAGATGTATTACCACTTAAATGGACTTTCGTATTGGAGTGCAAGTTTCCGGATATGTGGCTACAAATATGAAGTCTTTAAGCATGCTTTTACTTCATCTGCCCATGTACCCCTAGGTATGACGAGTAACGTTTGCCGAAAATCTCCAGCTAACAGCACAGTGACCCCTCCCATCAAGCTATTGTTTTCTCTTATGTCTTTTAATGTTCTACTGAGAGCTTCGAATCCACTCTTATGGGCCATTGTGCATTCATCCCAAACTATTAGTTTACAGTCCTTCAAAACTTGTGCCATGTTACTTTGTTTTGAAATATTACAGATAGGTGTCTCTACTTGCATCAAGTTCAAGGGCAGTTAGAATGCAGAGTGAGCCTTTCTACCTTCTTTCAGCAATGTTGCAGCAATGTTTGAAGAAGCAACAGCCAATGCTATCTGGCTATCTTTTCGCACTGAAAATGAGTGCCGTCGAAAAGAGAGAACTCTCTCTCTCTCTACCCGGTCTCGTTAGTGTAAGTTTGTGCTCCGTCTTTGGATCGCCATATCGTAGTTAATTCTTTCCAATCTGTGGATCATTATGCACCGATGGATTCTGTTTTTTAAGTGCTTTCGAATGCCGGTCATATTTTCCAGAACGGACTAGCCGTTCAGGAGTTACGGCCACCGGAAATTCCAGGTTTTCAGGGCGCATTTTCCGGGCGAATTCTGCTGGTAAGTCCGCTTGTGGCATATAGTTTTATCCGGCTTTTTATCCTCTTTTATCAGCCATATTCCTTTTTTCTCTATGTCTCCTAGTTTTTAATTTATAACATCCGGTAATATTGGTGTTTCGGGTCTTCGTGCGGGCCGGTCGGGCCATTGACGCTCACCATGTTCGGGTATTTCTATTATCGTCTGCTTATCTATCTGCGGCTTAAATTTCATCACGATATCTATCATAATTTTTAAGTTATGGCCTTTTTTAAATTGGGGTCGTACAAAGGAGGCAAAGGTAATTGACCTTACCACGTGGCCGGGTCAACTATCCTACCTGACCCTAATTCGGCGGTCTCTCGGTCCGTATTCTCGGGTCATGTTGGGTGTCTTACTAAGTGTAATTTATCTTTCGAATCGGCATTTTATCGCCTATTTATTAGTCCGGTACTAAATATAATTATTTTCGCTAATTTTTCTGTTTTTAAGTTTCTACTATTTCTCTCGCGGATTTTAAGTTATTAGTTCGTAAGGTTAGTTTTATTGCTTAGTATTATTAAGGCCTATTGCCTTGTTATTTGTATATTTTTATTGGTTCCTGTGCACTTTACTTTGGTAATTATGCCGTCCCAATGTCGGCCTTCCAATGTGTCTGTGGTTGAGGCAGATAACACGAACGTAGTGGTTCAGCCACTTGAGGATGTGATATTAGAGGAAGCGAATCAACACTTCCTAAAAATCCTGGATCTGCTTCCAGCAAAATGCAGCACAAATCTAAAATCCGATGAAAGGAAGGAGGTCAAAGATAGGATCTCACGAATCTACTCCTGTCTTAATCAATTTCACGGTATTCTCCGAGAGCTTAGATCCAACTGTCACACTCCACTGTCTCAGCCATTGGCTCCTGATGCAGCTCCGGCTCCCGTTTCCTATGCAGGAGTCACTAGGCTAAACTCTAAACCCAGTTTTACCACTCAGGTAATTAATAAATCTCTAAAAACAAGCTAAATAAAGAAGGGTCAGGTGGAAGTTTTGCTGTGTTATTGTACCCCAAAACGGATGATGGCGGCAACATCACAGACATGGCTCAAATAGAGAACAAAATCATAAAAGAGATCAAACCGAGCAACTTAAAAATTAGGGTCCAGTCTATCAGAGAAGTCAAGGGAGACGGTCTGTGCTTCCGTACTGATAGCCATAAAGAGGCACAAATTTTAGAAGATGCAATTAAGAATCTCGCAGATGTTTCACCAAAAGTAAAGAGCAGAATTTCTGAAGGCAGATGGCCAAGAATCATTCTCACAAATGTGCCCATATTGGTGGATGAAGTGGATCTGATACCGACTATTTATGACCAGAATGAAGATCTCAAAAGTATAAACAGAACCGAATTCATAGACAACACCAGAATAAGTACCATCCTTTATAGAAATACTACCAAGGAGAATTGTCGGCACATAGTGCTCTCTACCTTTCCCAAGATCAGGAATCTACTTATCCGTACTAAGCATATCGCTATCCAATGGGCGAAGGTATACCTGAATGACTACATTCCCCTTACCAGATGTTACCAATGCTGCGGCTATAACCATCTGGCCGCCAGCTGCCTAACAAGCAGAAATGTAGCCACTGTGGTAAGGGACATAGGTTCAACGAATGTCGTAGACTGGATCACACACCTAACTGCGTCAATTGTAAGGCTGCGAATAAGGACCAACCTGAACATAATAAATACCCGAAAGATCACAATTCCTTCAATCTGAATTGCCCCATTACCAACAAAATGAAGGCTCTAACTATAAGACAAACCAATTATGGGGTGTAGGCAAAATAGCAGCAATCTGAAGTTACTAAAAATAAATCTCCAAAGGTGCAAAGCTGCAGCCTCTGATGCCATTCAACAGGCCACCGATAGAAATACAGATATAATATTTATCCAAGAGCCATACACCTACCAAAATAAGATTGCCATGTTCGGGAATTATCGTACTATCCAGCATCATGATCCTATGGACTCCCCAAGATGGGATTCGTGGTTATTAATGACAACATAGAATTACAGCTGCTGCCTCAGCACTGCAGCAATAGTTTTACTACTGTCAGTGTTAACCTTATCACCTCCTACTACATCTTCATCTCGTTTTATTGTCCCCCCTCCGGGGACCTCAACTATTCACTCGAGCTACTCGCCGCCACTGTCCAGCAGCTCCAAGAGTACCAGATCATCATTTCAGGGGACTTCAACGCCAAGGCCCACTCCTGGCACAGTCCGGTAGAGGACCTCAGGGGATACTTGGTGGAGGAGTTAATGACTCAATTACAGCTGACGTCTCTCAACTCTAGCACGATTCCTATCTTCTCATCTACTAACAGGGACAGTTGGATCGACATTTGCCTCGGATCGAAAAAACTAAACACCAACGAAATCCGGTGCTACACTGTTGATCTGCACTCGGCCAGCAATCACAACTATATTGAGATCGTGATCGACGAAACCACACCGTTACCGAAATTTAGAATCTCTCGACACACTAACTGGGAACTGNGTCAGTGTTAACCTTATCACCTCCTACTACATCTTCATCTCGTTTTATTGTCCCCCCTCCGGGGACCTCAACGATTCGCTCGAGCTACTCGCCGCCACTGTCCAGCAGCTCCAAGAGTACCAGATCATCATTTCAGGGGACTTCAACGCCAAGGCCCACTTCTGGCACAGTCCGGTAGAGGACCTCAGGAGATACTTGGTGGAGGAGTTAATGACTCAATTACAGCTGACGTCTCTCAACTCTAGCACGCTTCCTACCTTCTCATCTACTAGCAGGGACAGTTGGATCGACATTTGCCTCGGATCAAAAAAACTAAACACCAACGAAATCCGGTGCTACACTGTTGATCTGCACTCGGCCAGCAATCACAACTATATTGAGATTGTGATCGACGAAACCACACCGTTACCGAAATTTAGAATCTCTCGACACACTAACTGGGAACTGTATCACCACTTAATTCAGACAAACTGGAATCCTGGTGACATTATTAACATCAGTGAGACAGCAGCCCTTGACATGTTAAGGAAAGACATAGAGAGCTGTCTGCTTTCAGCAACAGACTTTGCCCTTTCATGAATACGGAAGGAAGGTTAGAGAAAAGAAGAAGAAGAAGGAAGAGGAAATAAAGTGAGATAGGATAGCATGAAGGGAGAGCAACCAAAGGTCCCCACAGGGACCCCCGAGCGTCTGCATCAGAGAATTTATTCAAAACAAATTACAATTCAAAACAAATTACAATACAAATACATAAACATATACATACAATAGCTATGTACAATATAATACAGACACATTGCCACTTGCAATGAACTAATTACACAGGTGTAATACAGTTTGTATGTGAGCGATAATACAATTTGCTTTATATAAATCTTTATATATATAATTCTTCTGTGAGTGTGTATGTCACTGAACTTCTCTTAAACGATTGGACCGATTTTGATGAAAATTTTTGTGTGGGTTCAAGGGGATCTGAGAATGGTTTAGATTCACAATTTTGTCCGCTGGACAATGTTTTTTTAATTAATTTTTAATTTATTAGTAGTTGTTGATTTTGGAATGTTTTACATTGGATCCGACAGACGGCGCTACCATCGCACTGTCAAATATTAANCGCTCAGGGAATAGTGCTGTAGGCCCGGATAAAATCCACTACAGCATGATTAAAAATCTTTCGAACAATTCCCTTTGTAATCTCCTGCATCTGTTTAACAGAATATGGACAGAACATACTTTTCCTGACTCTTGGAGGCTATCTATCATTATTCCCATTCCCAAATTAGGTAAAGACCACAAGAATCCCTCTAATTACAGAGCAATCTCTCTGACAAGTTGTCTGTGTAAACTCTGAGAGGATGTTAAACAGACATCTGATGTATCTCTTAGAGAAAAATGAATACTTTTCACCACATCAGAGTGGTTTTCGTAGGAACAGAAGTACCACTAATAACTTAGTAAATCTTGAAACATCTATACGTGAAGCGTTTGTTAGATGACAGCACTTAGTGTCTGTGTTTTTTGATATAGAGAAGGCCTATGATCGCTGTTGGCGATACGGGATACTTTGTGATCTGGACCAATTCGGATTNATGTTGCGCATCTGGAAAAATTTCACTGCCATCGCTAAATCCACCACCGGAACCTTTAAAAACACTTTTAGCCGGAACCACATCTCAATCGAAATTGTTTTTGCGAAAAATTCGTAAATTCAATTCATGCTTCCAAATGACATCATTTGGAGCAACAAAAATTGTTCATAATGAAGATGGTCGTAATTTTGAATCTACATTCAAGATTCAAGGTCAGGTGTACCACCAAATTGGTTCATTGCTTCCAATGCCTGATGCCGATCCAAAATTTCTACAAATTTATTTTATGGGCGATGAGGAGCAACAATCACATACACGCTGCCTTTACAACCATATAGAGAGGATGGAAGAACGAGAAATTGTGGATATTTTGCAAACGTTTTTGCAAAACCATAACCAATTGATACGATTGTTTAAGACTCTTTCTAACAGACTGCAAAACGACAACTACGTCATTGTCATTAAAGCAGACAAAGTGCCCTATGGAGAGCACGCAGGCACATATAATGTTCCAACTATTAATGAAGTTGCAGTCGTTATGGCTGGTGACCCATGTGAACGTCGAGATATTCGCATACAACGCAGAGATAATACGATGCAAATAATTCAAGACAATCATCGTTCTTACGATGCTTTGCAGTATCCGTTGATATTTTGGGAAGGAGAAGATGGATATCATATCAATATTAAACAAAGAAATCCAACTACAGGTACAACTTATAAATTATGTTAAAATGATTTTATTTTAATCAATAATTTCTGTTAATCTCATAATTATATTTATTTGCAGGTGAAGAACTGAACAAGAAAGTTAGTGCTATGAACTACTATGCATATCGACTAATGATTCGTGCCAATGAAGATAATGGTATTCTCCGATGCAGACAGCTATTCCATCAGTACATTGTCGATATGTATGTAAAAATCGAAAGCAAGAGATTACGATACATAAAACTTAATCAAGCAAAACTTCGTGCTGAGGAGTACATTCATTTACGTGACGCCGTAATCGGCAACGTAGATGCAAGGAATGACATCAACAATATTGGTACCGCATATATTCTCCCATCATCATACACTGGTAGCCCGCGTCATATGCAGGAATATATTCAAGATGCCATGACTTACGTACGTGCATACGGCCGACCTGATCTTTTTATCACATTTACGTGTAATCCAAACTGGGATGAAATCAAAAGTTTACTGTTGCCAGGTCAAACATCGATGCACCGTCATGATGTCACTGCACGTGTCTTTAAACAAAAATTAAAATCTTTGATGAATTTGATTACACATTACTCGGTATTTGGTGAAACGCGTTGTTGGCTTTACTCTGTTGAATGGCAAAAACGAGGTTTACCTCATGCGCATNTAACCGACCGATTTCCGAATAATCATCTGTTTTCCGTATGAGAATAGAAGAAAACTTATATCGGGCTCCCGTGAGGCTTTGAAATTGCAATTTGGAACGCAACGTAAAGCTAGGCTTTTTCTATCGCCATTTGTCTTTACTACCGATAATACACAAGAATGAATCAAACTACCCAGAAAGAATAGTTTTGTTTTTAAACACCAATGGGCGAGCATCCGGTAAAAAATGCGAATAAGACAAAACTTTTAACTGTAACACGTGTAAACTAATTCTCGTTGCTTTGTTTACAACTTGTTACACTCGAGTTGATTGGTCAAATCGGTATAGTCGCAAACCCTGATGTCTTGTAAATAATCCCATGGTGCTTAACGACATACGTAACCAAGTGAGAATGACGTATTTCCGCTCGCGTTTCGAGTTCGCTCGATGAGTCATACCGTACGTTTCTATAGGCAAGCGCCAAATCCGACAGAGGGCGCTGTTTTGAGCCAAGATGGCTGACGAAACAGGATAAGGGAACGACCCCGTGTTTGTTCAGTGCCTGAGCCGATTCAGTTTCTATCAGTGACGACTACTGCGAGGACCAAATGGAGAACAAATCATTGAATTTACGTCAAATTCTAGACTATATCGGCGACAGGAAACGTTGTCTTGTAGAAGGTGAAGCCGTTTTGGATATATGAGACGCACACACACACAACATAATGTGTGCTACAAACTTTTGACTGACCTATGTTGTATAAGTGTTGAATGACTCAGCCGGGTAACCTTCAGATTGGCACTAATTTTAACTATTATGATAAATAAAACTATGTTTTTATATTTGAACATGGTGTATACAGTTTAAAATATTTAAATACTTCTCACCTGTTAACGTGTAATAATCATGCTATCACATGTTTACAAAAACCAGACAGCCCCGCATTGCACGTGCATTCTCCCTGTAATTAAGATGTATTAAAATGCCAATACTGTATTTGAGATTGCAACACTAAAGCAACATGAACTTTGGTGTTGTTGTTAGAGTTTAATCCACAAAATACGATGTGTCCAGCATCCAAAACGGCTTCACCTTCTACAAGACAACGTTTCCTGTCGCCGATA